CGGACCACTATCCGGTGGTGGCCGAAGTAGGCTCATCCGTCAACCGATTCCAAGCTTCCCGACGCAACTACCGTCGTTTCAGCTGGGAGCAGTTCCAACACTGTGTCGACTCCACTGTCGACTACGGTGTCCTTCCGGAGACGCCCGAAGACGTTGACTGGTGTCTGCGTTCCATCGAGGAGGCGATATCCCGGGCCAGGGAACAACACGTGCCAGTATCCAGGCAGATGAGCAATACTCTGAACCTTGACAGATCTACCAAAGACCTTATAAGACTCCGTAACTCCATCCGAAGGCAATACCAGCGTTCTGGTTTACGTGTCTTGAAGACCCATTGCAATCGTCTTACAAAAACCATCCAAGCCAGGATGGTGGACCTCAGAAATCAAGATTTTGCTAACAAGATCCGCTCTCTCCCAGATTGTGCAAAGCCCTTCTGGAAACTAACGAAAATCTTTAAAAATAAGCGAAGACCCATTCCACCACTGACCCCACTGGATAGTCCCGGTGACCCAGTGGTTCATCTGATAACTCCTGAAGAGAAGGCTGCCGCGATAGGTCAACACTTCGTCAGCTCACATAATCTCGGACAAAACATCGTCAACCCTCACGAAGCTGAGGTTGCTGAAAATGCAACCAATCTTCATCAGATTCCTAACATTTCTCCAGAGGAATCTGAGATTACGGCTGACGAACTGTTGGCCTTTATCAAATCATCTAAAAACATAAAGGCCCCAGGTTTCGACAACATCCTGAATCTGGAACTCAAACTCTTGAGTTCCAGATTCTACAACCATCTGGCACTGATTTTTAATCAGTGCCTCAGACTTGGTTACTTCCCCTCGTGTTGGAAGTCAGCTAAAGTCATACCCATCTGGAACCCTGGGAAGGATCCGTCCTCTCCTTCAAGTTATCGACCAATCAGCCTTCTCTCAGGGTTATCAAAACTGTTCGAAAGAGCAGTCTACCACCGGTTCCTAACATCTGCCGAACAAAACAACATCTTACTCGAGGAACAGTTTGGTTTTCGGAAAGGTCGTTCGACCGTCCACCAGCGTGGCCGCTGTTTCGAAAACATCTGCCATGGCGTTGTTGGACGTTGAAAAAGCATTTGACAATGTATGGCATGATGACCTTGTGTTCAAATTGCAGCAGTACGGTCTTCCAATCTTCCTAGTGAAGATAATTAACAACTACCTATCGAACAGGACGTTCCGAGTCTCCATGAATAGCATCACATCGGATGCTTTCAACATCGGTGCCGGGATTCCACAAGGAAGCATCCTTGGCCCCATCCTATTCAACCTGTTCACCTCCGATATGCCGGCTCTTCCTGATGGTGGATCGTTGTCTCTGTCCGCAGATGACACATCCATTGTCTACAAAGGTAGGGTCATCGGAGCTCTGACTGCCAAACTTCAGAGAGGCCTGGACGTCCTGTCTGAATATTTCAACAGCTGGAAGATCCATATCAACGCGGCAAAGACCTAGGTCATCATATTTCCACACTCTAAATCTCCCAGACTTGTTCCTTCGGTGAATAATAAGATCTGCCTGAACGGCACAGTGGTGGAATGGTCGAAAGAGTTAGTCTACCTCGGCTTAACACTAGACAGCAAGCTGATTTTCAGGGAGCACGTTGACAAAACCAAAACCAAGTGTAACATCTTGATAAGATCACTGTATCCACTCATCAACAAGAGGTCTTCTTTATCTCTAAAAAAATAAGCTTGCTGTCTACAAACAAATCATCCTTCCCGTAATAGAATACGGGATGCCAATCTGGGAGAGTTGCGCCAAATGCCATCACCTTAAACTCCAAAGGATCCAGAAAAAAATCCTTGGGATGGTCCTAAACAGTCCCCCGTGTTGCCCACAATACAGTTGCTTAATCTTGCCATAAGATTATCAATCTCTTAAACAATTAATAACTATTTAATTTGACGTTTGGCTGAAAAGTGATTTTCTGCAAAGTTGTAGCTGATAAAATTTCCCATAAGAATAGCAATGGATTTTGTTAACAGCACAATATGTAAAAAGAGTAGAAGGCAATGAAAAAAAAGTTTTGTTTTCCCATAGTGATTTCCATATAAACTTCAAATGGTTTGTGCCAAGTCAGTTTCTTATCAAATGAGTTTAAACTTTCGGAGGCTAATCAGGACCCGATTTGAAACCGTTTGAACACTGTGGAGCGAAAATTTCAAATTTTGCATCAGTCTAATGTACTATCATAATCAACAGAAATAAACATAATTTTACTACTACTACTACTACTATTTTACTGCGCTTAATCAAACGAGTAGAAAAAAAGGGATGTCGGTTACGCGATGGAATAATTGAAAATTTGATAAATATTTAATCGAATAACTAGAAAAATCTTTACGATTAATCGTTAATCGAATAATTGGACTTTTAGGCATTCCTAGAAAAAAGTGTAATTTTGAACAACAGAATTGCAACCAACAAGTGAAACCCAAGAACCAAAAGCGGTGCGATGCAAGTTTTCATTGCTATGACGACGACTGAATTAAGGGGCTTAGAAGCAGAGGGGTGATGTTATTTCTGTTTCGTCCAGAAACGATTAGCTGGTGAATGTGTTGGGGAAGCAGCATGTGCATGTACGTAATTGGTGGATTTGTTAGTTATTTCGACGCTTTTGGACAAAGCTTGGCATTTACCACTTTTTTTTTTTTGTTGAAAATCAACAATTGAAAACATTTCTATGGATGCGTAAACATATTTCTGATCGATTGGAGGTAAAATTATTGAAATTGGTTCAGGGGCAGCTGAGTTATTAACGATCAAAATCTTTCATAATTTCGTTACATATTCCATTTTAGGTTTTCACAAAGAAACCCATATAGAAATCACAGACGTAGTTCTACGTCAAAACTGGAAGTCATGCCTCCTTATGAACATTTCCCAAAGCTTCACTCATGGCTGCTGTCCCGCATTCCAGTCTGTAATATATCTAGTTAATTTAGTTCAAGTAGATGTTTGTATTGCAGAAAATAATAGCAATCCCTACAGAGCATCCGCTTTGCAATAAACAACCCTGTTTGTTCAATTGAAAACCCCGCTCCACGTGTCGCGATTGTCCAATATTTACGCAAAGCACTACTGTCACAGAAAGCGGCACGCTAAGCAAATTCACTTTCCTCTTTACCTTTCGCTAGGAAAAGGCAAAACTGACAGTACGGTGCAATATCAGGCAGTTCAGAGCCACCTTTTGATTTTCTGGCAAATATTTTCCATTCCAAGAGATTTTATGCCAAGGGGAATGAAAACTGCAAACATTTGCTATTGTTTTAGCATATACTGTTTTCATAATCCACTCTCTTCGTCCAATGACGACCGACTAGACGGACGGGAGCTGGGTCAACGGAAAATTGAAAAACCAAACAAACCGTTTCGATTTAATGAAATATTATCGCGTGAATGCGCTCGCAACCACATACAATACAGTTATGTTGTCTCCATGTTAGAAGAAGGGAACCGCAAATCGAACCACCACTAGGCACTACAATCAGCTGTGGTACGACTCTCAATCGCTGCTATGTGGATTTGAATCGTGAATCAGAATGGATCGAAGGAAGGACGGAGTTTAATCGGTGATGTGTGACCAAAATGAAATTATCGGAAACAAAGCTATCAGATCCCGACGGTGCGGTTGTTGCCCGCACAGGTATAATAACAAAACGTAACATTTGAAAAGGGACTATCAGCTTTTGAAAAACAAAATTCGTAAGGTTCGTTTCCCGCGAATCGAAGTACGCCCACGCAAACCATCAATACCATATCCGATAGTGGTCTTAGTCAGCCCTTTTCATATGCTACGCGAGAAAGGGGGTCTCTAAATTGAGTGAGAAGAAGAAAACAAAACTATTGGAGCCACTGCACTGTGTTCTAGCAATTCAATGGCAGGAAGTGATGTTCATATTTAGAACTCCGTTCGGGCATGGAATTCGTTAATCCGTTGTGTGTGCGATTACGTCAGCCAGGCCCAGGTGTAGATGGAAATTCTGAAGAAGTGTTTGCATTCAGGCGGTTCTATTTGGAACAAAGGAGTTGTGGCACGTTCCATACAGGGCCTGCAACCCGAACAAAAACATTTATCGTCGGTTTCGTGCAATACTGGCACAGCTCAAAATCTGCGAATTTTCACAATCAGTATTTGAACATTTGGCTACAACAAGCCTGGTGCATTTTCATGATAACTTTCAAGTTGCCGGTGTGTTTTATTCATTTTAATAATTCTATCAAAAAACCAACAATCCAACGATGTTTACTACTATTATTGAAAATATTTTGAGTTGTGCCCCTTTATCATGCAAAAAGGGGTTTATTTTGTTCAAGTTGTGAGCATGAAGAAAATATGCTAAAGGATAACAAAAATGCATATTTATATGAGCAACATGGGCACAACTCGAAATGTGCCTTTGATGATATATTTTGTTTGGCTTTTTGCAAAAGTAGCAAAGCACCTATAGCTTTTGATTTTTCATAAATTTCAAAATGGATTTCTGTGGAATGAAACTTCTCACAATTTGCCGTCATTTACCAACAAAATTCCAAAAATGAAAAATTTCGACTTGTGACAGTATAGCATGACACCGACGATGTTTATTTGAATTTGTTTTTGCAACTTCAACGAAAATAAGATGATACATTGAAAATAAATGGGATTCATTTATAATTACTCAAGATCAAAATTAGAAAAAAAATGAGTTAAAGAACAACAATCCCATGCGAAATCATCATCGCAGTAGCCATGAAATTAATGTTTACCATCGAGTTGTGGAGAGTTGCCGGTATTTAAATTTGAAAAGTCTTTCACTTTCATTCCTTTGGTAAAATAGATTTCAATTAGAAATTCTTAAAAACAAGAAATTATTTCCCAACTTAACGGCATTTTGGAATATTTTTCTCCGGGTAGCTAGATCAAAATATACGCCAAATTTGCTACCCCGACCGGTACAGCGCGGACCCAAACAACTCACCTCTTTCACACCTTCTCGAAGTGACCGCCCGGCAATGTTGACGGTATTGATGTTGATGTTGTTGTTGATGATGATGATGATGATGGCAGCGGTTATTGCGCCCCCGACTAATAACGGCGTTAATCCATTTAGGGATTCACGAAACGAGCTGCAATAAAACAAACATAGAAAGAAGAGTGGAATGAGTTTTATTGGGATCTACATGGATAGAAATTATGCTGAAAGGTTGCGCACTGTCTTACAACTTATAGGGGGGTCGGGGGGTGGTTACGAACAATTATAATGGAAATCTAACGGGCACCAACGACTTCCTGAATTGCGTACTGTTTTGCACCTTCTCCGAGAGATCTGGAAATGGGTAGCAAATTTCAAAATGATATATCTTTATTTCGAGCATTTTCTGCAGATCATCAAACCACAATTGAGGAGGCGTAGTCCAAAGTAGATGTATGCGAGCACTAAACATAACAAAAAGGTTACAAACCAGCAATAAATCACCAGAAACACAATGATGAATGTGTGCTTCACAGCTCGTTTTCGACATGTTTCCACCCATTTGGCTTGATTCGTTTGACGTGCACTTGTGCAGTGGTGAGACAGCACAAGAAGAGGTGTGCGTGTATGTGTGTGTTACATTTTATTGATTTTCAACATACTCCTAAGAGTTTTTTTAATTTTATTGCACCAAATTTTATTGAATTCAAAGTGGGTGTTGTGCAAAGGTACAACCACTGCTATTTGGAGCTGATGCAGAAATTATTGAAATGTTTGTTTTCTGTTGTTGGGATCTGAACTGAGGAGCATCTGAATTATGTTGACGAAGTGCAATGAAAGGCTGAAGGGGCGTTGTGTTGATGCAGTGACGTAAGGAAATATGTTGGATGAATTCGGACGATCCTTATGTAAGGCCATTGATCTTGAATGGCGTGGTACGATGAGCTCAAAACAATTATCTGATAAAGGAACTATTTTTAGACTAGGGAAAAGGATTGCAGAATTATAAAATAGGATCAGAGTTAATGTACACGTGCATCCATCCCGCGTGATAGAGATACGCTTTCTATAAGATCGTAGGTACCTGGTACATTTCAAGACGTATTATTTCGCGTTTCTTTTTTGTTCCTACGTGCCTCATTCGTGTCACATGCGCTGTGTCTTATGAGCTAAGCTCGGCGAGCTCTAGGGAGATCGGCAGCGTACCTACGTCCTGCGTGCATGCTAAAAGTGGCTGGTTGGTGATAAAAAAAAACAGCAGAGAACTGTTGTAGTCCTCTCACATTCTCGTGTTGCTGGTACAACTGATTGATTTCAATCAGTTGGTATTCAGTTTTTGAGGGTTGAGAGATTGTGGTTTTATCGAAGTATTTCAAGCGGAAGATGAGTTAAACGATTAAGAACCAATTACCAGCGGGGTTATTTGTTACCGATCCATGCGCATGGAATTTTCATGGTTCAAAATATTAAAATATTGATTTAGCTCCACCAAGTTCAAACGATTTCAAATCAGCTCCTGATCATTCTCACAAAATTTGTTCTCATTAAGATGCGAACTCATACTGCACTTGGCCCTTTGAAGTTTATGTGGGAATTGGAAAATTGAACGTTAGGATAATTAATAACTCAGCAGACAACATTGGAATAATAGGACAAAAAATCGGGGCTATTATGTCATAAGGGCAAGATGCAGTGTTGCCCTGAAAACAGCCGATTAATCCTACCAGCAAGTTATTAACTTGGAAATTAATTAATAACTAATTTTCTTGACATTCAATTAAAAAGTGGTTTTGAACAAAGTTGTAGCTGTGGGGGGGGGGGGGGCTCTGATGGACAACTTTTCCGTAAATCATTTTGGTGCAGGGCTAGAACGATGAGGACAAAACATACACTTTTCTTATAATAATTCCCATATAAACTTCAAAGAGCCAGTGCAGAATCAGTTCGCCACCAAATTAGCTTAAATTTTGGGATATTGATCAGCTTAATTTGGATTGGATTGATCTTGGTGGATCAAATTGATAGGTATTTTGCAGCTGGCAGAGAACCAATAGTTCGGAGGGCCCTTTAAAAAAACTTCGTTGTTGAAATTGATTCGTGTGACTTCATCCATCAGTATTTTCAGCCTTTCAAGCTGTATCCGACATCACTAGTTAATTCAAACATGTACTTAAATTTGAGAACTGTTCAAATATATTTAGACAAAAAGCATGAGAAATAAGAAAACTGGATTGTAAACTTTGGGATGAATCCGACATATTTGTCACACTCAACGGTCAGTATCTGAATCGAAAACCATGTTTTCCAAAATGTTTATTTAGTAGGCTCAATATCTTTGAAAGCTCTGCGGAGCCGAAGGACTAAACAAATATTACAATGGAGATCTAAATCGATTTCCTATATTTTTTTTTGTGCTTACAACGCATCGAATCTCGACAGACCCGCAAACCCTTTCTGCCGAGGATGTTGACGTTCGTTTTTGCATGCTTTATCGGCCTCCTGAGGGCACGTCCATTATCACCACCTCTTCATGCAGCACCTCTACCACTTCCTCTGTTGATTTGCTGGTGCTGTCTGACAATGCACCTACAGCCACTACACCAGGGTACGAACTGCTATCCGAGCTGCAAGGAATTTTGTAGTTCTTCAAGAAACTTCGTGGTACTTCAGGGAACTTTTTGAAAGTTCAGGAAACTTTCTTGAAGTGCAGATTTTTCTTTAAAGTTCAGCTAACTTTGTAGAAGCTCACCAAACTTCAGTGAAATTCGTAGAGTTTCATCGAGCTGCTTCGGTAACTCACTTCTTCTATGTACCTGAAAAAGTTATAAGACAACGACACTTCATACACCTCGCAGCTCGTAATTGACTGTATGGGCTGAATGAGGCTATTCATACTGTCGCTAATGTGATTAGTAACACTTATGCTTCGTTTGACTCTAATGTGCCTTTAACTGTCCTGATTTGAATGTTTCTTTGTCTTTGTGACACTGTCCTGATTTTGAATGTTTCTTTGGTATTATTATTATATTTTGTTTTATGCATTAAGACCAACATATGTCAGATGAATCATGAGCTAAATTTAGTGAAATTATTTGAAGTTCTGAGATCATGGAAAAGTTCAGAAAACTTCGTAGAAGTCGGAACTTTATACAAGTTTAGGTATCTTCGTAGAAGTTTATTGTTTTATTGGCAGGTAACCTCTTTATTATTCAGGGACCTTTTTTATAACTTCAGCGCTTTGATGAAACCTCATGGACTTGAAATAGTTCAGAGAATTCCGCACAAATTCAGGAAATTTCGTGCGTCGAACTTTGCGGAAATTCAACGAGAAACGTAGACGTGAAGCAAGTTTTGATGAAGTTTTGTGGAGTGCATAATAATTCGAGGAACTGCGTATAACTTCATAGAAGTACAGTATGTTCAGGAAACGTTGCATAAGTAACAGGATATTCTTTCAAATAAAGGGCGAACACGAAACTATTGCGACACCGAAAATGTCATGCCAATTTTCTTATAATGTTTAGAATCAAACCAAAATTTTAGGGTAGTTTTATACATATATTTACTTAAAAAATCAAAAGAAAAGTTAATCGATGGAGCCTTGAGTGTAAAATTGAACGCATTTTCGCTTGATGCCCTCCATCAAAGTCTTTACAGTGTCATCCGGTACCAGTTTCTCAGTTTTTTTTTCCATTTTCCTAATATGTCCTTCTCGTCTTTGACTGTCTTCTTGCTCTTCCGAAGTTCCCGCTTCATTATTGCCCAGTACTGCTCCACCGGGCGCAGCTCCGGACAGTTTGGCGGATTCATGTCCTTTGGAACAAAATGGACAGAATTGGCCTCATACCACTCCAGGACACTTTTAGAATAGTGGCATGATGTCAAATCTGGCCAAAATAGCGGAGCTTCGTCGTGCTGCTGCAAGAACGGCAAAAGGCGCTTCTCGAGGCACTCAGATTTGTAGATCTCGCCATTTACTGTGCCCTTTGTCACGAAAGGCTCACTCCTCAGTCCGCAAGAGCAGATGGCCTGTCAAATGAGATATTTGGAGGCGAACTTCGACATTTTCTTCTTCTTAAATTTGTCGTCCACATCGAACTTGCTCTTGCCGGTGAAAAACTCCAACCCCGGAATTTGCTTAAAATCAGCTTTTATATACGTTTCGTCGTCCATCACACAGCAGCCATATTTTGTCAGCATCTTCTCGTAGAGCTTCCGTGCCCGAGTTTTAGCCGTCGATTGTTGCCGCTCATCGCGGTTTGGGAAGTTCTGTACCTTGTATGTATGTAGTCCAGCTCTCTTCTTTGCATTCTGGACGTAGCTCTGCGACATGCCGATCTTTTTAGCCAAATCACGGCTTGAGACGTTGGGATTTGCTTTAATCATCCGCTTCACCTTTCCCTCCGTCTTTTTGTTCTCCGGTCCCGGTTTTCTTCCAGCTCCTTTGCCGTGGTCCAACGTCAACCGCTCCTGGAACCGCTTCAACACTCTGGAGACGGTTGAATGGTGAATGTTCAACATTTTTCCCAACTGCCGGTGCGACAGGTCAGGAAATTCCAGGTGTTTGGAAAGAATTTGTTCTCTCAACTCGCGTTGGTTCACCTCCATTTTCGTTGAATCGAAAAACACGACTTCGAGATTGACAGCATGTACACAATACACATCAATGAGAAAGTGTGCAAAATTTGGTTGATTTTTACCCAATGGTAAAAAAGTTATGCCCTGTTGAATGTGTCGCAATAATTTCGTGTTCGCCCTTTATGCTCCCTAGGTAGCCAGGAAGTTTTAAAAGATCAGCATTTTTACACGCTTATCTGAGTTAAAGCCAACGATGCCCGCTCATGTCACTATTTTGCTGCAGCTATTTAGCATAGACCGCGCCATCACCCAGTGGGTCACCGCTTCTGTTATAGAATTTATCTGAATGCTCGATCACATGAGGCACATTAAAAAAATCTGAACATTTTTAAAGTAATGGTAAAAAAGTACAAGTGAAAGCGTAAAGGTAATACGCCACACACTTAGAAATACCTAATTTTACACATGACGGAATCTATCTTTGACATAAAGGATGAGACGTAAACAAACATGTCGTGTAAATTTAAGTGCTCCGAGACTGAAAGTTTGTTACCCGACGAAAAGTAAGTTTGATTG